AACCCACGACCTCCGGATGTGCAGTCCTACATGTTAGCTACTATACCACTGAGATTATTAGTATTAAAGCAGTTTGAATAACAGTAATGGTATAGTTTATGTAAATCAAATGAAATCACCGGATGTAAGGCGGTATTGGTTCTTTAGACATTCATTTAAGTAGCAATGATGTACCTACTACATGACATGTACTTACAATAACGCTTGTTAACACGATATTCCATGATTGGAGTTTTATTGGCGTCCATCCCTCTTCTGTAAAATTTTCTTTTGTATATATTTTTTTAATCATTTATTCTCGAAAGAACGGTGCCTACGTGGGAAGGGACAGGTTTATTAACTTATGACTTTGATGTGGTCACAGAGGTATAGCTTTTTCCGTTCTGACTAAAACATTCGATATCCAGATAATTAGTTTCGAAGTAATAATCCGCCTGCCTCTTTGTATAGTGGCTATAAATAATTATCGTTTTTTTTTGTAAATACAACATACAACAGACCAAGATACATATACATACAAGATATTTAAGAACATCGTTCCCTCGAATTTACCTCATTCCAATTGTTTGGTATTCGACGTCGACGTCGTTCTATCAAACTATGAGAGGTCACAAGTGTTTAAGAATTTTCCACCTGGTGTAGTGTGTTTAAACGCCCTGTCCTCGAACATACCATTGTTATTAGAGGTAATGGAGCCTAGATACGTATTAAATATTTGACTTTCTTAAATTTAGGACTCTAATATTAGGATGCATTTCCAACTCTAGAGCGTTCGTTCTGATTATCATATAATCTTCATATAAAATATCGTATCCAAGACTCATTGGGAATTCTGTGATATAATAGTCTCACAACTCATACTTGGTGTACACCTAATCTATTGCCCTAGTTGTAGTAAGTCTGTCTTCTATACATGTTGAGTTTCTTTTTATCCGATTGCACCAGAAGGAAAGTTATGTTTTTCGAGTGTATGTATGTATATTTCTTTGGCACATCTGTGGCCTAAACGGCTTGATGAATATTAACTTGTCGTTAGATTCGTTTTAATTGTGAGAGTGACATTGGGTATATCAAAATTATAAAAATTTAAATGACTGATTTTTGGCGCCATTTTTTTATATAAAAATATCCTCAAAATCTATCGAATGGTTTGTCAAGACACACACACGCAGCTATTATAAAACATGTACATATGTGTCTCCGTCTGCATAATGTTTTTATGTTTCTTCGTCAACTTGCTTTCATCTTTTTACCTACAGTACTCTGCTCTATCTCAATCTTTTCTTAGTTTCATGGGAATCTTCTAGTTAATCATTTTAAAGTGCATCTTACCTTTTTAAAGTTAATTGCGATTCTATAATATGATCCTTAGCCTTTTTTAGATAGTCATAATTCACTTCACTTGTTAAGTAACAAAATTATAATAATAATAAATTCTTTATTGACATAATTTTATACATATTATATTCTTTATTGCACTTAAAATATGTTACAGAAAAAAAATAACAAAGTAAACATAGTTCACAAAGGTGGACTTATCTCTAAAAGAGATCTCTTCCAGTCAACCCCTGGTTGTGGAAGAAGATGTCAGCGGGCAATATAGTGCAAAAAAATATTACTAAATATATACTAGAAATAAAGGTAATAATATTCACTTATACATACATACATACATACATATATACATATATTACATATAAAAATATATAATACTATACATATATAATACCTAATGTAAGGACTACTTATACATACATATGTATACTTATATATACATAGTTAATATATAAAATATGAAAATAAAGAAAGGTACTGATTGATACTGTCTACATTTGTGATAATAAATAATTTTTCAATTTACATTTAAATACATACACAGGTGATAAAGATTTCCCTAGCCCCTGCGCTCGTTAAAAACGGTGTTGCAGGAGCCAGTGTCATCCCCATGTAATTAATGACAGGTTTATGCCAACACAATGATAATAGTACAAACAAGTAACATTTAAAAAAAATTAGCACACAAAAAGTTACAAAATTATAGTTTTGCATAATCTTTATTACCATCGCTTAGAAGAAGTTTTTCTTCATCTTTATAAGGACTAATCGTATATGGAGCCTTGCGTATTCTTATCCTTTCCAACTGAACACTTTTAGGTGGCAGAAATGAGCAAGATCTGATGTACCTACTAGAGTGTCACTTATCCAGTTTCATTAATAAAAATAGGTTTGTAAAATATCGTTCATTTTCTTAAAGGTTTGATTCCATACGTCTAAAAATTTTTTGGTGAGTTCTAGATAGATGATTATAAATCCATTCCATTTCAAGGGAGGCAATTTGACAGAACATAACACTTATCAATAAATACATGAACTGTATTTCATTTTTCAACACAGTAGTTTATAGCTACACACACTCGTGACTTTCACCCCAACGTTCATTCGATTCCTACGAAATTTGCCATGCATAATTATATAACTCATGCCCGGGATGTTGCGGCGTATTTGGATAGCAAATACATAGTTCAGTATAATTACAGAGTTAGTGAACGTTATCGTAATGTATACTAATAAAGAGACTTGAAAGAGAGAGGAAAGAGGCTTGAAAGGCTTATTTTCATAATGATGTTATGTTAACAATAATATTTTTTTATTTTCCCTTTGAAGTATTTTACTACCCTCGGCGTTCACCGCAAATTGTCATTGTCATAACTATTAATTATTATTTTGCATTTCACATTATATCTAATCTAATATATTTAAACGAGCAATTCTTGTATATTTGTTTTTATCGGGATCTCGGAAACGGCTCTAACGTTTTCGCTGAAATTTGATACATGGAGTTTTTAGGGGGCGAAAAATCGATATAGATTAGTCTTATGTCTGGTAAAACGCGTGTTTTCGAGTTTTCATGCGGGTTTCTTTCGCCACGCAAAATTTGGTCGCTCATTTCGCACGTTCGGGCATAAGCATCGTGGTCAAGCGGCCAAGGCGCAAGATTGACAATCACAGGTGTCCTGGTTGGTTGTTTTTGTTGTATTTATTCAAGTTTTTTGTTTTTTTTTTGTTTTTAAATGCCAAATTAAAAAGAAAATTGTACTTTTGGCCAAAAGTCCGACCGAAGTTCGGTCGCCCAGGTACTACATATTAATCAAAGCTGTCTAGTCAAAGAAGCATCATACTAATAGGGTAACAACAAAATGACTCAATCCATTGGTTTTTAAAGAACTAACATCCGTTTGTAGCGTATGACTTTTTTGTTTTTTATTTCTTTCGTTTTACGGGACTAAAAGCTTAGGACTCGACTGATTGAAATGTTACTAATCTTTGGGCTCTATATAAAGGAAATTCCACAGAAATCTATGCAATGATTCATAATATATAACTTTTAGATATATAATTTTATAAATTATTTTAAAAATCATTGTCTTATTACCACTCTTATAAAAAATTCAACACCCATTTTTTAAATAATTGTACTAATATGTTAAACGCGAAAATTTGTGAGGATTTATTAATATATGTTCGTCACTCTTTCACGGAAAAGTAATGAATGTATTTTGATAAAATTTTACAGTTATATAGCTTACACATTAGAGTAACATGTAGACCCTAATTATATATATAAAGATATGTATATACATAATTAAGCTACGCGGACAGAGCGTGAAACTGCTAATATTTAATATAATACATCGTTATTGTCTATTAGAGTTTTGTAAAAAATGAAAAAAAAATGGATTCCAATGTTACATTATTTATACCCTCACTTGTATTCATAAAGAGACACAATTTACAGCTAAAATATGAACTCACATACATATGTTCGTGTAACACTTGATCATAGTTGTTAAATTCATAATATAATTACAACAGGATTAAGGTCAAACTAATATTTTCTAGGAAAGTCCTACGTGATGGATGTTTGAGATGAATAGAATCATTCAAAAGCTCTACAGACAGTTTGTAATTTTGACAGTCTGGTAAAAAGAATAACACGGTAAATGAAAAATAAATTCATTTCCACTTTATGCAGCGAAAACTAATTACAACTGTATTAAGTTGACTTAAATCATAATAAAAATACTAAACGTTTAGGACAGTTAATTCTGAATAAACATTTGCATCAATAGTTTAATATATCTTCAATGGATATATTTTCCTATAATAGTGTCGGTCGATATGGAATGTTTGTAGCATTCGGTCATTCCATTTTTATTTTTGTGTATTCATTGAATCCAGTCAAGTTTTGATTTTATTTCGTGAAATGAACGTTTATTTTCAAAATGAGATTAAAATCCATATAGATAGGACGTAATATTTCATGAATGTAGTATCTTTTTGATTTACATGAAGTGTGTTAAAAATATACATATATGTATAGATAATACACAGATGCTCTATTAAAGTGAGCATGATAGAAAAAAAGCTATTAGTAAAGATGAAAACACGGCGCTTGGAACTGTCTAAAAAACAGAGGCAGATATAAAGTAAAACCTGTGCTTTTTTAACTTTATACAATGATAAAACAGCTTTTAATGGATGTCTCGTATCTTTTTTTGAATTTTAGACTACTTTTAAATCCGACATTCGGCAATACACAATATGTAGGTTTTACTGGACTGTGTCCACAGATTACAGGAGTTAAATCCTTTAAAGAGATCACGTCGATAGTGGATTGCTTTGCCTTGATGCGAGATAGAATATAGGCACAGTGTATAATCCATACAGTTGTCTAACTAAAGCGTATAGATAGGACTATGAGGGGGACACGCGAGTGAAGTGTGCCTGGCTAGCAAACATTCTTATATAATATGACTATTGTTAAACGGTTTAAAGGTCTATAGTTTCCCACGAGAAGATATAACAGCGTTTAAACTTTTGTTCGCCATGAAAATTGGTATTTTTGTAAATTCTTGCAATTGACAGCATTTCTGTTAAAATCAAAGGCAAATGGGTTTTTATACTGTGAAAAAGGAAAGTAAGGTATGGGTTTATCGCAGGGGCTCAGCGTCACTGCACTCAGGAAACGTCAAGATGCCAGGGTTTGTTGGGCCGGATGATGAAGCGGCCTCCGCTCGGCCGTGGAGTGCCAGTAATGGTGGCGCTACAAGCAGAACCGGCGATCAAAGCGATTGGACGACAAACAAATTATTCCGCAGGTATTTTATAATTTTAGACATAAGAAAACCCTTCTAGGTGTAGGAATAACGCTTATATCCCATCCAATATATGAAAGTTATTATCGGATTGGATATAACAGTGTTTTTGATCGTTCAATTGTTGCCTTGCCTATTCCCTGGGGGAGCTTAAGCCGTTTTAATAAACTTTATAACGCATTTACTTTAATTTTAAAGTTTAGGTAAAAAAGCTTAAAAGTTACCTAAAAGATAAAAGTATTCTAGTTAAAAATATAGGGTTATAAAAAATCTTAAGTAAATTTTAAAATAATATTATATTTAATATAATAATTTGACTCACAAGTAATTTCAAAGCTTGATTTCCAAGTAATTTTAACATTTATTCCCTGAACGACTCTTGGATGTCTTCTTAAAAATGCAACTTTAAGGCAAAAACTTTCGTAAGACTTCCAAAAATATCTTACTTCTCTACGAATTAACATACTCACGTTTTTTGGATTTCATTTCTGAGAGCTTTTATTTTCATAACTCAAAATGGATTTTGATTTAATTGGGATATTTGCACTAAGTAGTAGTTGTTGTTCTTTACTCGATAATAGTTTTATACAGAGTAGTAAACGGCCTCGACTACTATGTTATAGCTATATTTTTAACTTTCCTTTCGCTGCCTCTATGAAAGGAAGAAAGAAGTTAAGATATACAAAAGTATATCTAAACTTATATTTATTTAGTCCCTTTTTAGCAGACGGGCCTCCTTTTAATACGAGGACTTACCCCACCACGCTGGCCAAGTGCGGGTTGGCTGATTTTACATGTCTTTGGAAAACTTGCTAGGTTCTCTCAGACACACAGGTTACCTCACGATGTTTTCTTTGACCGCAATGGTGAAGTAATGTATTAGTAAAGTATGCTTATAAAAGCAACATAATATAGAATTGTATTAACTGTGAGACAAGTGGTAATCATGTTGGAAATGATTTGCACCTGAAAATATCTGACGTGCAAGGCAATACCCGGGATTTGAACCCGCTTCACTTGGTTTCCCAAACGAGCGCGTTACCACTGAATGCCTAGACAAGTGGCATAAACGCTAGTGGAATAGAATAATCAATGTATCGGATTGACCTATGTTTACGACTTCCAATTTGACTCAACGTATCGAACTTGTAATTGGCAGGCAAATGTTGATCTAATCTATTCGATGAAATGTCAGGGTAGTACATTAATCCCCATAGAAAGTGAAGACAAGTGGTACTTTTGACAAACAAATTCGGCTGCTAGCGTACGACACCTATCGAACGCTAGCACCTTATAGATAACGATACGAATACATTGTTGCCATGATAACCGTTGTTATTGTCTGACAAATATATAATATTATATTCTTTCCGTTTAATGTAATGTAAATTATATATCTTATAGGAGTATCTTTAAACGAGCAATTCTTGTACATACATATAATCTGAATCTCGTAAACGGCTCCAACGATTTTCATGAAATTTAGTACACATGGGGTTTTGGGGGCGATAAATCGATCTAGATTAGTCTTATGTTTGGGAAAATGCGTCTTTTTGAATTTTCATGCGGTTTTCTTTCGCATTATTATTCCACATAAAATATGGTCACTAATTCGCACGCTAGGACATAAGCATTGTGGTCAAGCGACCAAGGCGCAAGTTTGACAACTACATGTGACAGGGTTCGTATCCCGGTCGGATACAAAGTTTTTACTTTTGTTTTTTTTTTGTATTTATTCAAGTTTTTAGTTTTTTTTTAAAGAAAATTGTACTTTTGACCAAAAACTTCGAGCGAAGCTCGGTGGCCCAGGTACTGTTAAATAGAATGTGAAATAACTTTTTTAAACTTGGTAAAAAAAAACTAATACTAAATAATACTTTCTTAGATTTACGCGAATGTTTGACATTATTAAATAAAACTATCTTTTCGGATTATTTCGCGGATTTATTTTGATTTTTGGTTCCCGACGTTTCGAATGCTTTACAGCATCCATGGTCACGGGAGAGAATGAGGTGTTACATGTCTTAAAGATATAGTTGTTACAGACAGCCTACCCACAATTAACAAAATTTTTGTTAAAGATTTTTGTGAAAAGATAGTTTTATTTAATAAAACTAATACTTGTAAAAATGATTATTCAGTACTGTGGGATGAATGTGAGTAAATTAAATAAAAGCTATTATAACTAATTGTTGCCATGGTAACCGTTGTTATTATCTGACAAATATGTTATTGTATTTATTTTTATCGTAGCAAATACTTCCAGGCGAAATTATCTTTATAATTAGTGAAGAAACAGCTCAGAAGGATTTTCCAGGAAAACAAATATTTGGCATTTAACAATTATATTTCTCGCTTTTTCTGAATACTCATTTTACATGTATATTTTTATTTATATAATACCTAATTTATATAATGCGAATCACCGACTGTCCACTTGATATATCAAAAATCTATTGTCAAAATCTACAAACTGGTACATGAAATAACTGAGTGTTACACTTTTAATAAAGAAATCCGAAAAATCCTGTGTTGCTCATAAAAGTTTAAATTTTAGCGCCCTTCACAATGTCAAAATGACGTTTACAAACAAAACCATGACTACGATGAACGATCGAATGGACTGAGCGTTCGACAAGTCCTTGTACGTTTGGCTACCAAATTGTTATCGAAATTGCCAAGGCGTTAGCGTTTATCGAAAGAGAATCGATATGGAGCATTTCCCACTAAGCTAAGTCTAAGCCTTCAGGGCTACCATTGCTTCACTACTGGCACCACAGAAATCTTAATAATAAGCTAATAGAAGTGGCATAGACGCGTGACCTTGTCGCCGCGCATGTGACTCGTAGGTCACAAGCGCGTGTAAAGCGTTTGTTGCGGTAACTAGTGTTATTTGAGACACGGAGAGGTAAACATGGTGTTTTGCAGCATATCCAACTGCGGAAATTCTTCCACAATTTGTAACTTTACAAATAAAGGGATAACATTTCATATGTAAGTACTTAATTTTTGAAATAATGTCGTTTTTAAGAAATATAGCCAAATCAAATGTTTTCACCACCACTACTACGATTATCGCAGGAAAACGTTTTTTTTTTCAATTCAATAACCATTACCACTTAAGCTTGTTCATGTATACTATTACAACTGCTAAAAGCAGCAATGAAATAATATTCATGCGTAAAGAACAATATTGTCGCGTACGTAAATTCCAAGGACAACGCCGCACAAGTTAGCCGCGAATTAGTGACGTGCCACCACAATTTTTTATCGAAAATTTATTACGTTTGGCTTAATATTTTTCGTTAAATATTTAATTGTTACATCTCATTGTGTATGTTTTCTTTCTGTCTGAATAATTTATAAAAAGTCATTTATCAACGATTATCTGTAAATTCGTACTTTTAAACTACTTTTTCATTCAGAAAATTATTAGGAGGTAGGCTTATTATTGTTATGTATGTAGTACTAGTATTGTTAGTATGTACTGCTAAAAAGTATTGTTTTTGACAACAAGCTAATAGCAAATAAAAAGTTTAAAAGTGAATTTGTAACGAAGGCCATGCGTCATTTTGTTGGGATAAAAATATTTGAAGATATTGATTTTCATCAATATGACCAGTCTCCAATTGATAATCATGTCATTCAATTAGTGAAATGCGTTTTAGAAAAGTATATAGATATTCGCCTCAATCACTTTGCCAAAAATGCTATCCAATTTATCCCAAAACGACAACTTTTAAATAAATTTTTACATTTTTCAGGGCAGTAACATTAATAACCTGGCTTTAAATGCCAAAAAGACAAAATACATAAAGTAAATAGATCGTTTATTGGGCAAGGTGTACGCATATATAATAAAATTCCACAGTCCATATTGAGCTTGCCTTTGAATCAATTTAGTTCTAAAATTAAAAATACATTATTGAATAAGGCTTATTACACCATTACTGAATATTTAGAAGATATAAATGCGTGGGATTAATGTCTTGCTGTGTCTCACGTAGGATAAATGGATAAATATTGTAATGCAATAAATATTGTAATCAAATATTTTTTGAAAAGAGCAACTGTTGAGTATCTCGCCGGCTCTTCTCAGCAGATCAGCATTCCGAGTCGGTGGTAACATACTCACAGACTTACAGACTGACATTTAATGTAAAGTTTAATCATGTAAAAATGACGATTCAAAAGAACTTGTAAAAGTCTATTTGAATAAAGAATATTTTGATTTGATTGAGTAAATAATTCTAAGGGCGAGTTGTTTGATAAACAACATAGAAATTCTATAAAAATTTTTAAGTCATTGTTCAAAATGTATGGATATATATATATATATATATATATATATATATATATATATATATATATATATATATGGATTTTAACAAATAGTTTGCATAACTTTTGTATAACTATATAATAATAAAAAAATTTACTTACATTTAACGTTTTATTGTATTCCCTTTATGAAAATAAATAAATCGTCTAAAAGCGCGTCGAGGAATGAAACAAAACACTTTCAATAAATTAGTTACCTATTGTTGCAAGACTCAACGGAAAATTATCGATATGAGCATTATGCGCTTTGTACTGCACTAAAAGTGAGCGCGCGATATCATTCTGTGCTTTTCGCACACGTTTATTATTGGTCACAGGGATCACGCCATCTGAGATTATGCGTTTTGAGAAAATATTGCGTAATGTCATCGCTTAAAGTTTAATTTTTGTTGCAACAATGCAAAATGCATGTGTGGGCGATAGTGTGTATTTATTGTTGTCAATGTGTTGGTAGCTGCAAGCCGGCGACACGCGTCCCAGTACTAAAAGACCGCAATGGCATTTCTATTACCTTATTATTAAGATTTCTGTGACTGGCACTGAGACAAGTGTCTCAGTGCATATCAACAATATCATTTGTTCGTAAAGCAGCAATATACATATTTACACAATATGTACTAGTTATTGATTTTTATTTCCTTTTTCTCATAGAAGACAAGCAAATAATACAAATTGGCGACAAACATCTCGCGATGAAGGCGACGAGTGGCGAAATCAAGAAGGAGCCAGATCAACCAATCGAGCTAATTTGGATAAATGGGGTAAGTGTCATCAATGTTTAATATTTTAGATAATCAATACCACAATTTCCAATATGTTTTAGTGTAATCTAGAATGATATGAAAATCCTTATCATTAGTATTTAAACCAGTAATGTAGCCTGAAATTGACAGAATAATAGCAAATTGAATTTATCCCTCCGGCTAGTGAAAACCTATATTTTTATTAGGTCGAATGCTGTCTGTTAACAAAATCGATTTTGATTACAGCGTAAAATTCATCGCATACGAATCATTAATTCGGACATGTTTTCGAGCCTTTCCGTTGACCGGCGAGGGCCACATTGAATTACACACTTTTAAAGATGCTTCTTGATAGGTGAAACTTTGATGTCGGGACTCTTTGTTCTTGCTAAATGGTTCTGGTCGTTTATGGAAAACTGCTTTTAAATGTGTGTGGAAGACGTAATTTTTAAACCTAAATCTAATAATATTTAAGAAGTCGTCATCGCATTATTATTTGAAATTTTGTTCCAAAAAAGCAGAAAGTGTGTGAGCATTTTCTTTTATTATTTGTGAACCTCGCATTATGAAGCGCTTTCTTCCTAATTGAGTTTGGTGCGGATATGTACATATATGTGTGGCATCAAGAATCATTTTCATTAAGCAAGGTACTAGCGATTCACCCTCGCTTCGCTCGGGTTCGTCCCTAGATTAATACCTAGGGAGTAGGGACGAACCCAAAATATTTAACGGTTAGTATAGATAGAATAGGCAATAAATATACAATGTACATGGGTATTAATTTAAAAATTAAAAAAAAAAATCACTTTTTGATGATTCTCCATTTAAACTTCTAAAACCTAACCTTAAGAGATGATTTTCGGGATAAAACCTATCCTATGTCCTTGGCAGGGTCTCGATACTATCAGCATACCAAATTTCATCTAAACCGGCTTCAGCGGATTAAGCGTGAAAAGGTAACAGACAGATATAAGTTACTTGTGCATTTAATATTAGTATGGATAGACTGAAAAAGAGTCTGTCAGAGACTCAGTCAGAGAGATTATTTCTTTCTCACGGGAAAACACATTATAAAGCAACTCACAACAACTCCCCCTATCTATGTATAGTGTATATGTGTATATAAAATATAGTCTATCTATTCCATACTATGCGTTATAATATTATAATAAAAATAGGTATTGCGAGTGTACCTTAGGAGGTAGACATATGATATTATGGACTTTTCTGTCGACCTTTTTAAGACCTACAATTTTTTAGTACATTGTTTTGATGTATCTCTTAAGGTTTAACCAGCATTAGCATTATAAATTTCTAAGGAAGACTAAGATAGAACCAAGTATTGTGTTTTCCCGTGGGAATTAAACATTTTCCAGTAGGAAAATCCTAAATGTTGACCCGACTAATAAGTAATCACTACACAAAATTTAGTTAAAATCGGTTCAGTACTTTTTGTATGAAACGTGCACAACCAGACAGACAAACAGACATACAGACAAACATATAAAAAATTTAATAAAGCTATTGTTTTAGGGTCTATATTCCGTACAAAATACGTTACAGTAGTGTACACAACGATACAGTTGTTTTTAAAAATATTTTATGTAGATTTAATTATATGTATAGATAAAAAATAATTATTTTTATTTACGTTTGCTGAACTTTACGGCTTACGCAGTTGTTTACCGTCAGTAGGATTTAGTTTAATATATTCTACTTGGTTTCTGACGACTTCATAGAAGTGTAGAGAAAGATGTGGAACTTTTCGGTGTATATTTTTTTTGTTGGAAGTTTCGCATTATCTTCGGTTATATATATGTATGGCGATGGTGCTTCAAAAATGGTGCCATATAATTTGTTATGGTAATCACTCTTAAAGATAAAATCACTTTTGAAATAATTTTGAATTTACTATACATTTTAGTTGAATATTAATTATTAAACTCCATTATACAACATTTATTTACATAAAGGAAATAGTTAATGAATTTGCATACGTAATATCCTCAATGTAGGTACGAGTATTAATATGTTATCGTGATATACAAATACTGTACATCAGTTTGTTTCTATTGAATATTTATGCAGCAAAGAGAATTATAGCTAGAAATGTTTACATAGAATACATATTACATAATTATGGTTTTGTTTTATATAGATTTTGCTGTTTTTTTTTCAAATACATATCCAACCAACTTGAAAATCGATATATTTATATTATACATTTTGATACATTGTAAATACAATAAAATATTATGCCTATCCATTATATGCGAAACTATTGTCTTACCCTTGCTTCGCTCGGTTGCGACCTAGGTACGTACATGTAGCGTTACTATAGTTTAATAGATCTTTTCAAGAGGAATAATATATTGTTTTCATACAACTATTGGTTTACGCGGCGCTCGCCGATAAAATCCCCCCAGTCGGCATGATTTTTTCCGACATCTTGAACAATCATAGTCATATTTCAGCTAATTTATCTAAAACCTTAATGAATTATACACATAAACCTTCCTCATGAACCACTCTACTGGCGAAAAACTGATGAAAATCCGTTAGGTATTGAGTTTATCGCTTTCCGACAGACGGACGGACCGACAGAGACACGTAGGGACTTGTTATAAAGTATGTAGTGATAAACAGAAAACAACAGATGATTATTGGGTATATTCTTATTTTCTACGGCATTATCTTGGGTGACTTCCTAGAGCCCTTCAATACAATTAAAATTTTTTTGCCATCTTTACTTCTAAATGTTATAATTTCATCGATCAAAAAGTACTTGATACACAATCCCATATCAAAAGTTCTCTTAGAACTGTCACCAATTATTGTGCTTAGATAATTATAATTCTAGTTGAAATAAATATACATCAATATATAATGTAAACTAAACCTTAAATGCAATGCTTAAAGTTGTTTTCACAAAAAAAATGTTAAATTAAAAGCGCGCTCAAATGTTCAAATGAGCGCTCATTCGGTGAGGACATTTTTTGTTGCTGATTATGTATCTCGTACTTTTTTAGTTTATATGTTTATATGTTTCGGTTATATTATTTCTAATTTGATCACATTAGATCGAGATTGGAGTGAAAGGCCGACGCAAGACCGGCCGCAGTCGTGGAACTCTAATCGTCGCACTTGGGGCGGTGATACACAAAATGAAGATAACCTACCGGAATGGTAAATACATTATTTTTAATATTATTTACACGATATATGCTATATAAAGTAATGTCTTCCTGATCAATTTTGGCTAGGGCGTATATTTTCAACAAGTGCATTGTATCTATTTATTTCCCTTTTAAAATCCGATGGGACAATACAGGAACGACGCAACACGTGCTTTCTGAAACATGGCTTCCCTTCGTAACTTTCTTGATATTTGACGCGACGAAGGACTCGAACCTAGGACCTTCGGATCTGCAGCTAGCTTCTGTGCTAGCAGTAGTGGATCAACTAGGCATTTAAAATATGAACTATGGCGGATCATTGAAAATAAAGGAAAAGTACATCACATTAAAATAACGTTGTCTTGAAAGCGTATGTTTTCTATCCTTGGATTATTATTTCAAACAGATATATGCTCGTATATACTACTCGTGCGCGAATCAAACTAAATAGTTGCATTTTCCGGTGCATTGCCCTGATCATAAGAGGCTATTCATAAAAATCGTATTCGATTACAAATAAAAATAGAGTGATATTTGTTAATGTTATTATATTATGTAAAAAAGAAAGGAATGTTCTAAACAATTGTATGATTCCAATTCGCAATTGTACGAATTTATCATTGTATTGGAAAATGATTTATTTTGTTTATTTACTTAATAATATTAACGAAGTAATAATTACTTTGAAACATATTTATGTGGAATTATTATTAATATTACCTTGGTATTAATTACATTTTATGTTTGTTTACGTTTGAATAAGAGTCTTCGTAACGTTGTAAACGTGGAAAGTCATTGACGCTTTCCTTTTTTAATAAGTCATTATATTAAACATGGTTATTTTTTTCTCACTAAAGGCTAAAATAGACCCAATGTTAAAGACTCGTATGATAAAAAATGTTAATAATTTTTTCTCACATTTACGTTCTCTCTCTTTCGTACCAAGAATGACTAAATAATAATATGTAGTTCATATAGTTTGTCTCGTACTAAAACTTGACTTCGTTGATTGGATGAGACTTTAAAAGTAGAATATTCACGTCAACATTTCCTATATGCATATATAAAACTTACAAATAACTTCTTCACTACGTAGTAACGTAACGTTGTTAACAAGTCAGAAATTTTTAACAAGCTTTTAACTTTCTCCGTTCGTATATCCTACGATCTTTTCCGGCACTAACTTCTAAAGTGAAGTAATTCAATCATCCGCACCTGCTGGCATTTGAATATTTTGATATTTGATATACAGTGATAATAGTTTATTGAGAAACTTACTTTACATATAATGATTAAGACAGAGTAAGAAGTGTAGTTAAATGTGATGGTTTGCTACAGAAAATGTATGTTTTAGGGCCGTTGATAACGCGGAGGCCGGCGCGGGCACTTTCGACTCGTCCGGCGCATTCCATGGTTACAGCAATGATGATTCTAACTTGCCTAAAACTCAGGAATCCCCTTATCGTAAGTATTTGGATCATTTTAATTGATAATCTATTATTTTAGATTTGTCTCTTGTTCCGTTTTAACCGACTTCGAAAAGGTAAAGCACATGATTTTCTTAATACGTCATATTTTCTGTCACAGTCTGTGTGCAAAATTCCTTGAAGTCTCCCTTTATTTGCTTATCACGTCAGATTATCGTATATTATGTTTAGAAAACAGTTTCTGGTTACATAGATGATACATTTTTAGAATTAACCCGATCACAAACACACGGCAGTTTCTCGCGATCTAAAACAGTGGAAGAGGGCTCCGACGAGTGGTGGGCCTCGGAGAAGGCTAAAAAGTTATCACCAAAAAGATTTGATACCGGCGAACCTAAGTTTAAAAAGGTAAGTAATGTTGGTCCCCTAGTTAGGGTGTTTTCTAAAAAAAAATATTATAATTTTTATCTTATATAAGTGTAAATGTTATATTTTTTTTGAAATGACAATTTTATCATATATTATTTTGTCAATTCAAAATTGTGGTTTTATTTGATTTCAAATTAACATACAAACATTTTTTATTATAAACAATTAACTTCTAAATGTTATGGTGTACGAAGTTATTAAACCTTAAAAAAATTGAAACACATAAAGCCCAGTTCAAATCGCATTTCCTCCAAACCTAATCCTCCCACAGCCTTCAAACGCCGGATCAGGTGAACAACCAACAAATGCTAGTAAGAAGATAGATCTAAACGCTGTAGAGGAGCTTGCAGGGGAGGATTCGGAAAAAGCTAACCAACAAGCTGACTTAAATACGACAGACGACCAAGCCTTACGGCAAAAGTTCTCCGAGAGCAAAACCTTCGACGCCCTAATGCGATCAGACATAGGCTTTGCAGAGTCGAACGATGAGCGAAGCAACTTTCAATCGGTCATAATAACTCCGAATAACAGTTTGCGACAAAAACATCAGAATATTGTAAGCAACGAACAAACAGCACAAGCGCACAGTGCGGGCTTGCTGCACATATTGCATGGTATACCCATGAGTAGTCAGAAACTCGACACGTGAGTGGTTTTCTATTTATTATTTATTTATTTATATTATTTATTTTTCTATAGTTTTTATATTTATTTTAGTGAAATAATAAAATAATTCAAAGAATGTCTGAATTAATATTTTTTTGATAATGAATGAATAAGATTAGATACGTTATCGTAGCCATTTACATAAATATGTTTTAATTTTTATTTTAGCGATTCCAAACAACCGCCCGAGGAAAAGATAGTGGAGGAACTAATAGATATGACTTTAGAGGATACGACATTAGCGAATATGACGCATCAAGTCAACTCTGGCATTACGCAAATGGCCAATTCTAATATGCAGATGAGATTGTCAAGTCCGGCGATGCCTATCATGCAAATGAACACGGCCCAACAAATACAAACTTCACTGCCGATACAAAACGTTGGGATACCAAATCAAGCACTAAATTCATCCCTAGGTCTGCCCATAGGCCAAGGGAATAATGGCATAGTAATGCCACTTCAAGGAAATCTACCAGTGATACAAAATTCAGGTCTAAATTCTATGGGCACCATGCAGTCTAGGGCGGTGATGGGAGGTTTTCAACCGAGTAATGGTATACCAGTTATGCCTGCGCCTAACATTGTGAATAACTCATTGTTTATGGGTCAGAACAATCAGACAGTGAGTTTTTTTTTATTTTTTTTTTCATATTAGACCTATCAGCTACTGCTAATTAAATTTCTAGTTTTTTTTTGAGATAGAAAAAAATTATGTTTATTTTAACCTTATATTATCATTACCCCATTCAATACAAAAAAATAAGCTTTTAGAATTTTTATGAAGAATTAGAATGAAATACAATTTTTCTGAATAACCGATTATTTTAACCAGATGCCGTCGTCAAACGATATGGTGCAAAATAACCTGTTCCCAACAATGATGCACACCACGCAGCCATTCGCCTCCATATACGGGAACATAATGCCGCAGAGTCAGAACACACCGAATGTACAAAATCTGGCAGACCAGTGGTACTATGAGGATCCGAAGGTTAGTGTCCCCTAATGACAGTTTTCAGAACTAATGTTAGTACTACTGCCGTCATAATAAAGATGACCATGACCATTTTCATTGTAACAACGCAAACCTACTACTAAGTACTAAGACAAAACTTCAAATATCTCGAGAAGGTCGTATGTGTGGGGAGAGTCGGGAAATGGTTTTAGGGTTGACGGATATAATTGTAACTTACCACGAGATGGTACAACAGGCCTTTATCTTTAAACTGTTCGCCGTGATACTTGGTATGTTTTGTTTCTAATATTTTTCTTTAATCCTAACTGCACATAGGTACTGTATGTTTTCTAATTTTCTCTTTTTTCATATTGTAGCTTTTTGTTTAGGTTTTTTTATATTTATTTGAATGTTGTGTACAGATTTATTTGCAATGTTGTGTTAGGGTATATAGGTAATACTCTATGTATTATTATATATCTTAATATTTTTATCAAATAGTTCTAAATATTTGGAAATACAAGTGATACATAGTGAGCTAAGTTCGTTGCAAATTGCAGTTAAAAAAATAAATTAAAAAACACATCTTTGAGCAACTGTAATACATAGGACCGTCAAAACCATTCAAATGAACCTAAACTTGCTGGTTGTAAGGTTACTAGCTATTGGAGAATTTCAATATCCTTTTACTGACTATCATCAGACCAGGTGTTGCACTGCGGCATCAGTGGGGCTTAATGTGTAAGATTCTCATAGTCCTCTATACATTTATCGGCCGGCAGGGAATTACATGCAAAAATATAAAAAATAGCTATTTATTAACCGACTTAATAGGAGAAGGTTCTCAATTCTTCGGAATCTTTTTTTAATGATGTTCACGGATTACTCGAAGACGCCTGAAACGATTTGGATTTTTTTTGGTTTCAAAGGCTGTACCCAGGTGGTCCCATTTAAATTTTATCGAAATCGGTCGAACGGTTTTTAAAAAAAATCATCAATAAATTATTTTTTGAAACAAATTGCTTAATTATATTACAATTAATTATACATAAATGGCTAAATAAGTTAATTAAATCGACTTCACCAGGCATTAAAATGCAAAAAATAACTAAACGGGGGTTTTCATTTTGAATAGAAACCTAATCGAATATTTTCGAAGTCGGTGCCAGCTGACAATATTTTAAGATACATTCAGTCAAGAAAGTATCGGGAATGAATGATTTGTTTATGGTTCCAAATTCAATTTTTTTTTGTTGTTGTTAGATTGGCACTACTGTTTTCCATTTTGGCGCGGAGTTTGAGTTGCATCTGTTATTTATATTAAATACAGTGCTGTTTTTACTTATATCATATCTAGTGTGTATTGCGAATTTCATCATGGACAAAAACATCGAACAAAGAGTTTGTCTTAAATTTTGCGTCGCCAATGGAATTTCGTGTTCGGAGTCACTGAAAATGTTACAAAAGGCTTACGGTGAATCGACTTTATCAAAAACACGTGCTTATGAGTGGTACAAAGCGTTCACAAGCGGTCGAGATGTGATGGAAGATTTGCGTCGCTCTGGTAGGTCATCAACGTCTGCAACTGAAGTTAACATCGCAAAAGTGAAGGAAATAGTGACTGAAAATCTTCATTCAACTTTGAGAGAGAAAGCCGCCGAACTTTCTGTATTTTAAGAGAGCAAATTCGACGAAAAAGGCCAGATTTGTGGAAAGCAAATTGTTGGATTTTGCACCACGAAAGCGCCTTCGCACAAGGCCATCATTGTGAACAAATTTTTGACCAAACACTCAACAAATACCATCGAGCAACCACCATATTCACCAGATATGGCTCTAGCTTACTTCTTTCTTTTTTCCTAAACTCAAATTACCACTTCGTGCCACCCGTTTTCAATCGGAAGAAGACATAAAGGAGAATTCGCGGCGAGAACTGAACTCAATTCCGGAAACAGCGTTTAAAAAATGTTTTGATGAATGGATTATTCGTTGGCGTAAGTGTATCGTTTTTGAAGGTGCAAACTTTGAAGGTGATAAAATAAATTTGGGTGAATAACAAACATTTTGTGTATTATTGATCTTTTCCCGGTACTTTCTTGACAGAGTAGTATGAATATCTAATAGGTAAATATGATTAGGTATGAACTCTAATATAGTTAAAATATTATACATCAATTTGTAATGTATTTTATACGTATCGAAATATATTAGATTTGCTTTGCATCGGTTTTTTTTTAATTTTTGTACTGACTGACAAATAAAACGATTTCGAACCTCTAGTTCTTTTGGCCTAGATCTAAATATCTTTTAACTGTTACAAACTTTAAACCTTTTCCGAGACAATGTTTCCGCCGCACCGGAAACTATTTTTTCCCCCACCGGGTCTTTCAAAGGAAGCATGTGACACAAGACGCGTTATACGAAATATGTATATGAATTGATAGTCATACAACAGTCCGTGTCATGGCTAAGATAGCTAGATCTAAAGACAGACGGGAATATTCAATTTAGGTATATTTAGTTTCTAAATCATTAGTAAGTCGCATTATGACCTTTCGCTGGTTAATTATTACGTGTAAGCTAAATTCTCTTCAAATAATTATTTTTATACTAGTGATTTTGATCGATGTAATTTAATCATTATTTATTATACTTTAATAACTTTTTTTAGGTTTACGAGCTTAATAAATCGAATAGTGATAATTCTTTTCATTTCTATATCATATGGTATTGGTAGTGAGATGCGTTTATCTCGAAACCCGAAAAGACATGTGTTAAAAATAAAGAATCGCTAAAATTATTGTGCTATTAAACAGTTCAATGGCTTTATACTTACCACCGACGGACTAGGAATATTATTGTGGCGAGTTTTGTTTACGCACATTCTGTAGTAGCTTCACGCGCCTATAAAATTACAGTTGATTATTTCATTTATCACTGGCCTAACGGATTTTTAATGTTTATATGCCAATACCCTTTTATTCACACAACACTAGTGTCGAAACAAGCTAACTTCATTAGTTCTCCCATATCAATTAATATTCTGATTCGCCTTTTATTACATGTTATGAAATAGAATTTGGTGTAAATCTCAATTATTTTTGATCACGTTTATACTCAAAATGTTTTAGAAATACATAACTATATATATATATATATATATATATATATATATATATATATATATAATATATATATATATATATATAATATATATATATATATAATATATATATATATATATATATATATATATATATATATATATATATAGAGTTATGTATTTCTAATACATTTTGAGTATAAACGTGATCAAAAATAATTGAGATTGAAAAATTATATATATATATATATATAATTCTATTCGTTTTTATAGACGGTACATTTTTGTGTACGCGACTTTACATGTCATAAAATTACCATACATTTTGTTATAATGTGACCTCGCATTGTTTCAGGCTCTAGAGACTTGTAGTCTCAGCACGACACGACTTATGCAAACTATCTCTTATAATCGATTATGTTTAGGTTTTGACTTTACTTAGTAACCTTATATATTACAAAAAAATAATCAAATTAGTTAGTTGCTTCAAAATACAACAAGATATAATTGTTTGTTGTTATAATTTACCACAACTAAAAACTTGCTACGCGTGAGTACTAGTTGCACAAATGCCATTCGCTCTTGATCTATTTTTATTTATAGTGTACTGGGAAGACTAGGAAAGCTTAGTACAAAGTAAAAGTAGACACTTTGTAGAGTTTCACTACGGCTACGGTATATTATGAACCGTCAGGGACACAAAGCAGTAATTATATGTAAATAAATTATCCTGGCGACGGGAAAAAACTAGTGTTGCAGAATTTTTTACTGTATTTGTATAAAATGCTAAGCTGATTTACGCAGCAAGCTTTTTTTAGTCTTCCTTAATAACTTGCTTTCAATCGGGATGAATTTAAAATGTTGTGACAAACAATGTCTGATTTTCTTAAATATAATAATAAGTCTTTTTCGTAACGTAACTAAAACTAACCGCTTTATTGCATTTTCATAGCTAAGATTTCTCATGTAAAGTTTTATTGGAATAATCTGGACGGCTGTTAATAGAATATAAATATTATTATTATCATATTATATTTCAAATAAATTAGTATAATATAAAATTTATTTAACAAATTAATTCTTATGGAATAGTGATAATGGTACAAATATCATTTTACTTTATACTAATTAGCGATAATTAGCATTCACGAGTACGATCATTCGTCGAATTTTCAAATGTTTGACGTGAGAATATTGTTACAGAAAATAATACAGGGTCCGTTCACATCGAAGGACATGTATAATTGGTATCGGGCCGGGTTCTTCAGTCCCAGCCTGATGGTGCGTAGGGCCTGCGACGCGCACATGCGGCCGCTTGGCTCCTACGGGCCAGTAGTGCCATTTGCGCAATTGGTAAGACCTACTAATATCTATAATTTATTTATCATTAACTAATACTTTCTTAGATTAACGCGAATATTTAACATTTTAATTTAAAGTAAAACTGTCTGTTCGGATTTTTTCCTGGATTTATATTGATTTTTGGTTTACGACGTTTCGAATGCTTTACAGCAATCATGGTCTTCTATTATGACAGTTATATTATATCATCATCACAGTTTTTACTAACCCTTGCACTTGTTTAAGGCCTTAAGGCATCTAGAGCACTGCATGTGTGATATGGGAGACCGCGCATACTTTTACATGACTATCGCAAATGCCTTAGGATTGATGAGAATAACTGTATCTTACCATGGTACCGTAAGTCGGTGGTCTTACGATGAAGTAAAACATCATGAGGAAACCTTCATTTCTAAGAGAACCTAACAAGTTCTCGAAAGGCACGTGCAGTCCGCCAAGCTATGGCCTGATCACCTCGTATTGAAGGGAGGTCCACCCCCAGCTGTGGGACGTTAAAAAGCGCTGAATATCGCTAAATATATTCCATGTCACTACAGTGCTTTAATTTTTACCATGAAAATTGTTTAATAGCATTTCTGTTAAAATCAATGAAGGATCGCCTTCTTTATGATGGGATGTTTTGATAATGATTGATGTCCACCAGGGATAACCTACAGTATTTACAATTTTTATTTGTAACTTGTAAATTTACTTTTTAATGTTAAAATTAAAATAAAGCTTGATAAAGGCTGGGCAGGTTGCTCGTATTATATAGAAGAGAAATATTTTCTTTTCATGTATATAGATGTCTCATGTAGTTTGATCAATACACATATACTATCTTTGTTATTTCATCGCCGAGATACATATATATGTTCGTTTGTAAAAACATGGATGTAACGATAGTTGGACTCGTTAAATATGACGCTGTCTTTTATACGTTGTTTTCTTCCCAAAAATTCCCAAGTCTCACTTAAAACTGGAGTAATACACGTGCAAACAGACAAACAATAATTGTTGCTGATTATTAGGAAGTAACATTACACAAAATAAAAACCATTCAATTCATAATTACGATATCCTTGTATTATTAAATTGTTAACACATCGTTTTATGCACCATGTTAGTACAGTAGGATTCGAAAATGACATCGAAAGTAGATAAAATTAAGTGTTACTAAGTGAATTCTCAATTTTTATTATTTACTTTACACTAATATAGTCACTAACATCGTTAGTCTAATAACTTGAATATCGCAAAAAATATAGGACGACATATTTTTCTAAAATCACTATATCCAATCTCCTATTGGATTTTGCATGAAAATGTGAACCATTACTTACATACGTCGTATTAAGTTACTGGGTTAAATAGTTTATACTGTAATTAACATGTGCCTATTATTGTAGGATGTGATGTCGCCATTCCCTATGGGCGGATTCGAATCCCGACCGCAAGGTCACGACATGCTCAACCAACAACCTGGCTTAGGTATAGAGGTGAGTGAGAAAATGACTTCAATAATTGATTTTTTATTGAAAAATGGCCGTTTTAAATATATGATGTACATATATAATTGGTTTTAGCCGAGTGTAAAGAAGGTTCTTTATTCGATTTCATTTTTATGTAACGCATTTTTATATAGCTTTTTGTAATGTTGAAAGAAAATTTTTGCACCTTAGCTTTAGAAGTGATACTGGAGAAGTAATAGGTGCTAACAGGTAATTATTACTCATTATATATGACATATGTATATATCGTAATGTGTGATTATCAAAATGTCAGGTTGAAGAATCTAAAAAGATATATGGACCCAATCTGACAAATTTCATTTGAAATCATTGCAAGTGATAATTGCAAGAAGTTTGATTTGTTTGTGCACAAGCATACATAAGAGATAGTAACTAGATGTTTGGAACTAATTCTAAAAATTCTTCCATTAATACCTCTAGACTTTCTCTTACTGGCTAGTTTTTAATTGATGTGCCGTAGAAATGAGTGGAACCCCGAACTAAAACTACTTTAATGTGTTTTATTGACATCCATACGTTATCTTTTCGTATATTCTATTTTATTGTGCACTGAATATTTAAATTTTTATTGTTAAACACATAATCCGATATATTTCTACACATATTAATATAAATTTCATGCTTTTTGAAATCACCTAGATTTCAATACATTTAATATATTTAGCCTATTTTTTATTGCAATTTTTTGTATGTACATTGATATAGAGCTTATAAGTAGAAAAAAAAATACACCATTTCATTATTAATTGATATTCAAACTTTACAATATTTATTTTACGATATATTCAAATTTTCGAAACGAGACGAAACGACGTAAAAACGGTAATGAATGATGCCAAAAATATTAAAATATGACGTGTATATGTTACAATGAAAATAGAGAAATAATTATCAATTAGTTCGCACGAACGACAATTTGCTTCGTGAAATGTTTCACAATAAATTCTGAACCTATCGAAGTGAAAAACGTGTGAGTAGGTATATATATATATATATATATATATATATATATATATATATATATATATATATAGTCAAAGTAGAGTAGGTTAGAAATGGAGTTAACAGTGCTTTAAATTTTTAAATAAAAAATAAATAAATGATACTAATCTCTAATAATTAATAAATGAAAAAAAAAACTGTTCGGATTGATGAAACTTTCCTTTCCAATGTGTAATGGATATCCGTGGTGGGTATAACTCGGTCTCCTTGCTATTTGCTTGCTCCAACGATTTTCATGAAATTTAGTATAAAAGGGGTTTCGGGGACGATAAATCGATCTAGATTAGTCTTATGTCTGGGAAAACGCGTGTTTTCGAATTTTCATGCGATTTTCTTTTGCGTTTTCACAATTTTTGCATTGTCAGTTGTCACTTCTGGTGGGTGGTAGGCGCCACTGTACAACTGTCTACACTAACGTCGTACGTGTCCGTATTAAAATCAAGTTTAAAAATATTATAGTGGAAATAATCTAAAGAAAAGAGATACAAATTAATCGATAAAACCTATGGGCAATATGTAAACATCACCAAGTCTTGATGTGCTGAAGAACACATGAGCTTTTAAAAATTCACCTACCAACAAATACAAAAGTGACAAACATAAAATATAGATACTATCAGTGCAAAACCATCTTTTCTGTGTCTGATGACAATAAAACAAAATAAATTTGGGAAGTGAAAGCGTAAAATATTAAAACATAAGTTTATAACCTCAAAATTTAATACTCTGTATAAAATGGTAATTCAACTAGGTATAATAGGTGCTCTTTTTCAATCAGCTTTTCTACTTCCAACTTCACACTTAAAGTAGAGGACATAAAAAATTTTTAATAAACATGCAACAAGAAATAAGACAGCAGAAAACAGAAATGTTAAAAATGAAAGAACAATAGACCTGAAACTAAAAATTCAGAAAAATGGCAATTGTTTATGTGGCACTCAGTATTACATTAAAGAGGACTATCCAATAGAAGTCTTAAACAAACGCAAGGAGTTACAAGCCCACCTGAAGATAGAAAAAGACCTAGGCAAAACAGCTTTCATTAAATATGACAAACTAATTGTTATGGATAATAATAAGGACACTTCTCGCCAATACTCAAATAAAGGAAGTCTGCCTGTATCTCCAGAAACGCCTTACCTCAATAATAAACAAAAACTAAGAAATAAACAACATACAAAGAAAACCAAACCTGCTAATATTAAAGACTTTATATTACTAAAACCAAAATTAACTTTCAACCACACAAATGATAACCAGGAACAACTAAAAACAACACAGCAAGATATAGTATAGTAAACACAGAAGAAACTTCTCATCTTTATCCCCCAGTACGGCCGGTCACCGTGGGGGAGTTCGACCGTAACCCTCAAAAGAAAAACAGACATACAATGAACAAAGGTATACATATCTTCACCAAAAAAACTTCTAGAATTAAAAGCAGCATTTCCTACAACAAATCAAAAGAACACAAAGATAAAATTATAAACTTTGTAGGCATATCAGAAACAAATTATATATTGGAAACAAAATTTGAAAAGAAACCCTTTGCAATCATACAAGCATAATCTCCAACGGAGAGCTCTATGCAGGATACTTTGGAGGAGGCTTGTACCCGAGAGGGGTCTATACGTGAAACCTAATAGGAAATTCACAAAAGACATTTACTAAATAAATACATTTAATTATGAAATTAAATACCTAATTTATAACTATGTATTGTCAGAATTAATGTATGGGAGGAAATTTTATTTATGTTTATTATTGTGAAATGTTTAGTATTTACTTAATTGAATTATTTAATTTATTGTGATTGTTTATTTATTTATTTGTTAATGATAATTTATATATATTAATCAATTAAGTAATTGCTCATAAGCTAACAAGTTCAATGTAACTAAATAGGTTATCACAACATACAATATCATTTCAAATAATATTAAAGATTTTTAAGATAATTTAATTCCAGATTACAAAATTATTAGTTAAAAAATGATAAGTTAATAAATAGTCACTAACCAAAAATCGAAGTTAAATTAAATATAGGTAATCAAATGAGTTATAAATATGATCTGTTAAAATACAATGTTAAAAATTATTAATTAAGTAAGAGTACTTAATTATAATTTAAAATTATATGTAAGCATTTATAGAATAAATAAAGCTTTATTATTATTATTTCTTTTGTATTATTCCACGCAAAATATTATTTTCGATAATTTCGCATGCTTGGATATAAGCATCGTGTTCATATATGTATATATATATATATATATATATATATATATATATATATATATATATATATATATATATATATAATGTCTATGAAGAAAATGCTTTAAGATTTCCGGAAAATAAATTATATTTAATATTACGTCTTCCTTGTTACTTTTCAAGACTTGAGGGATTTGTTGTAAAATACTTATTATGTGTACAAAGTTTAAGTTAAGCGCTAGAACTTAACGTTCTCTCACGCTTCAGTCTATATACTTTCATTTGATTTAGTCTACAAAGGAAAATTACTTTGTGTTTAAGAATCATTTTATAATCCGTATACATAGTATACATTTTTGTGCTAAATGGAAGGTTTTGTGATTTCATTTTATATTTCACTAGCGATACACCCTCGCTTCGCTCGGGTTCGTTCCAAGGTACGTTTTAACGGTTAGTATGAAATAGAAATCTTTGAATGTCTCGGCTTTTCTGTACTACAATATGGATGTATTATATTATTGCATATAAACCTTCCTCTTGAATCACTCTATCTATTGCTGAAAACTGCATTAAAATCCGTTGTGCAGTTTAAAAGATCTAAGCGAACAGACAGCAGAAGCGTTTCATTTTATATTATGTAAAGATATCAGCGCTTTTTAGTGACAACAATAGTTCTTTTAGCTATTTTTTAAAATATAACACACTTTTTTATCTATAACAGATAATATTCGTGCAAAAAAAATGCAAAATATCTCAAAAGATAGCTAGAACTGACGGCCACGTCTAATTTCTTCGTATAATATTATGTCATCTACGTTTTCGGTTAATCGAAAACACCTCGTTCAGTATTCTAAATTCAGCTTCTGATCAAAGCCAAAGCAGGAGATTTTAGGTTTTAATTAGGATAATAATTTTGGTCTAATATTCCAGTATACAGGTACATGCAACCTTTATAAATCAATCAAAATGAATTTTTTACCTTGTTCATGATTTAATAATATTTTAATTAATTAAAAATATTGCATGTACTCGTAATTGGTAGATCAGAGACAAAATCAGTCAAGCTTAATATATAAATCAAGATACTAAAGCTTGCTAAAGCTATCTATAACAGCATTGCAGGAGGCCACGATAGTAATATTGCAGATGGAAAGTGTAACATTCATTTCTCCAAGACGTAGACGTTGCGTTAACACGTGAATAAATTCATATAACGACCTATCTATAAATAACTATCACGTTAAATCGAATACGTCCCTGGTAAAAAGCTTTGAACCGATTTTTACTCTAGAATCCATGTTTCATCTGAACAAAGGCTCGATCTTATTAACTCTGTTCGCTTCAATGCACTGGGAGTGCTAACTAGATGTAATTCCTTAATCCTCGTGTTTCTAGCCATTGCAAGTGAACACCTGTAACACTTATCTGAGAATCTTAACACTAAACACGTTTTCGATAATGCCCGAATTGGTGGACGGAAAAGCTTACGTAAAGACGGAAGGAAAAACTTTCCTCATCACTATCGTTTTGGCGCTTTCCACTTGTACTTGCAATTTTTAGTATTTGCGCTGGACGCCTTTCGCTGCAGCTTAAAACAAACGAACGAAAGATGTCTCATATAACATTTTTGCAAGTCGTCAAGTGTACATTAGAAAATTCTGCTTCAATAATAATCCTTAACTATATGCCATGCGAACTTTATTTATATTTTTAGTTAATTTAATATAAATGATAAATGACGTGATAATGATGATTATTATTATTATTAATTAACAAGATAGATATAAGATTTTTATTCGCGTTTTCACGTCATTTACGATGCCTTTAATATTGCAGTTTGCTATTTTGCCTTAATACATGAAGTTTACGCATTCTAGGGAGTGTTTAATAACAGTGCCAATAACCAACGTATGGCTCCTGAAAGATTCATGCCAGTTCAACCGCGACCACCTTTGTCTCACCATGTTATGGTAACCAGTTTTGCAGGGATTGCTTATCTCGATCAATGTTCCTTTGACCCCTCTTTGAGCATGACCTCATTTTTTCTTATGGGAGACCGGTGATGACTATGTTGTTTTTTTATTATATTTCCCTATTTATTCTTTTTTACATTTGTTTACATAAATTGTGTCTTTTTATTGTATAAAATGCATGACCTGTTATTATTTATATCTCTTCGCTGAAAATCTACAATTTTTCCTTTGTTCAAGTTCACTATTGTAATGTAAAAATAAATTATTATTATTTATCGAGCACTAGTTCCTCTTAGCTACTTAAGACTTAATCTGTTACATGTCCATTTATATATATTGCAATTTTAATGTACATTTTAAATAATATATTTAAGTTGTAGTTGATGTTTAATTTAAAATACCATTAATATATCCGGTATTAAATCTTAATTTTGGCTTTATATTCAACCATCACAGGTCTCCTCAACTTCTTTTCTACATTCCAAAGTTGCTTGGAAACTGTTTATATAAAATTTTTATTTTTCTCAACTTACATCTGATACAGTGACTTTAAAACATTTTAGGATTTCTCCAATAATAGCACTAGGAATAGCATTAATCATGTGGAATCTGCCTTTACATTTGGAATGCGCGCTCCACACTTGGAGTCCCGACCGATGGTATTTTTCTTTTCAAAAATATCGATGTCAATTGCTGGTTTTTGTTAAGTATTCATAGCACACGCCGATCTGTTGCCCAGTTGAGTTTTTATTTGCGCATTGCCAAAAGTGCCCAATTAATTATAATTTACACTTCATTTGGATTTTCCTATACAATTTGATTATTATAAATGTTTATGCACGCTGTATAATTTCGTCATGACTGAAAATCTTTGAAAGACCAATCTATTTACGTAATTGATTCATGGAATCCATAAGCTTTTATGCACTCTAGTATAATTAATTAATCCTTTGATAAGTCTCTATGGCAACTATTATTTTTTGTTAAATTCTGAAAGTATTCTAATATTATATGAATTCATATATAATTACCATAAAATTATTAATCGTAACGTAATATAGTGATAAAAACATTCTAATTAAAAATAAACTTAAAAAAAAATAATTAAATTATTGTTAAAATGCAAAGGATTACTTAACGTTTTATTTAAATATTTTGTGTTATAACCTAGAACGCTATGATTTTGCAAAATACAATTGTTATTATATTATCAGTGATTCCATGATTTAATTATAGGTACCCTAAAATTCCTACTATTATCACAGCAAATCCTTGTACATCATTTTTATTTCAAATTCGCTTTAATTGTGCTGAGCGCAAACCTTAACGCAATTTTGCCAACTTTTAAAAAAAGGCAAAAATGTAAGTTAAGGATTATTATGGCTTTTGTTTGACATATGAATGTGTTCCAGGATTCGCTCTGGGGCCAACCAGGTCCATCTCAGGACTTGATGTGGATGCAAGCGATGAACGCGCGGAATGAAGCCCGCGTCAACAACTTGCCAATGTTCTTTTGGGACTCGCAGGTATGTGCGGTTTTATGTTGCGCTGTTGTTTTAAATACCCAGCCGTGTTGTTTGGAATTCGTTTGGTATTTTTTTTGGGTCCTATTCGATTTTTAGTGTTTTATATTCGTATTTTTTTTTATTTTCTATGTGTTTTTTTAGCAATTTGGAATTTAGGTTTTTGTATAATTAGAAATGTTTTTGCCTTATATTTATTAGTATGAAAACGAGGATAAATAAAACAATTGATCTCAAATACAAGAAAGAGTTAATCTTTTTTTTTAATTTAATTCTTTAACACTACATAAAAATACTAATTAGTGTTTTTCAAAAAGATTTTAAAGCAGCACATTATTAATATTAATTAATCTGCATAATGTTTTTTTTTAAATTCACTTAGGAATTGTAATGTTTTAAAATATTCTAATTGTATAGGGTAGAACTATGTATGTTGCCTTTTTCGAAAAGCAAAATTTACTGTATGTACGAACGTATAAACACTGAAAATCGCTACCGACCTACTATTATACAGTTAGCCCGGATTTTGTTTGCAATCTTATTTAAATATTGTACAAAGCTCTAATATTATGCCATTTAAACAACAAACTGGGTATTCAACGAATTTCAAACCCTTTTGCTATTTCACTTGCATCTTAGGGCGGTCCCTCACCGGGAGCATTTGCCTGTAATGTAACAATCTAGATTCGAGGTTGAGCATTACGTTACAGTACTGCCTCACTGACTGACGAGCATTCGCCTGTAACATAACAATTTAGATTTGATTTTGAGTATTCGCCTGCAGTCATTTGTTTTTACAATGTTGGACCAAGCGGTCATATTGAGCGCGGTAATATTGATTCGCTCATGTTATTTACGTAAAAAAGCAAAAGAAACGAACAAACAATCAAACAAGTATAGATGCGTTACATATTGTATCACGATGTTACAAATTGTATAATGTTGCGCATTGTAACGCTCAGTTCTTCTCCTTTATTTACGTAATACTCGAATCTGAACTGTTACATTACAGGCGAATGCTCCCGGTGAGGAACGCCCTTAAAGTGTTGTGCTGTTATCCTTATTGTGCAATTGTTTTGTATTTCTGTTGTTATTTTTTTTATATTTAGTTTTTTTTAATATACAAATATATCAGCACGATACTTTTGAATTAATTATAGTAGCAAACTCGATGTTCTCTTGATAAACTTTTTTCATCTAGTATTTTGGCATCAGAAATTTTTTTTTCAAAATTTTTTTAAGTCTAAAACATCGAGTTTTGCCCAACAGAATGCTTTCCACAACTAAAAGGAATCATGAACGACATTTTAACATTATAACTAATAACTCGTAAACAAGTGTAGCGATTTAGTTGAACTTGCCTGAAATTAGTTAACCTTGCTACGATGTAGATACGAAATTTTTATAACAGTTTGTGCAGCTTTTTTCATACATATGAATCTGTAATAAAATTATTAACATAGCAGATATTTTCTCGATGAAATCTTATGGGATATTTGCTTGGAATTTAGATTACAACGTAAATAAAATTATCCGATTGTAGTAATGTTATATATATTTATATATTTATGAGATATGTTAAATTATTTTAGTGTCCCTCGATTTGCGTATAAATAACTAGCTTTAGACCGCGATAAGTCTGAATCTGCCAGTGAAAAGTTTACTTTTTTTATTAATTTGTTTTTAAGGCATAAGTAAGAGTAGTTATATTTTGAAATCACACCCTTATTTCATGACCTTCCCGCCCTCAACCCCCTGACTATCTGCATAAAAAAATCACGCCAACCCGGCTCTTCATTTCGACTTGAAAAAATGGACAAACAAATAAACAAACACACTAAATGTGAATTTATAATATTATATATTTATTTCGTGTATTTTGAAAACGGCTCCAACGATTTTTATTAAGTTTTGTATTTAAATAAGATTTTGCTTTTTAAGGTTTCTCTTTATCTATATGAATGTCTTTTCTACAAATATGCAGTTTTTATATCTTTTACGAAAAAAAAACGCCGAGTGAAGTTCGGTCGCCCAGGTACTTATGTGTAATTAAAAGGGCAACCGTTAAGTTTCTCGCTGGCCCTTCTCAGCAGAACAGCCTGTCGTATCTTTCTCAGTCTTACAATATTAATAAAAAATACAAATGCATATATACACATACTATTATATATATAAAACTAGCGATTCACCCTCGCTTCGCTTCGGGTTCGTCCCTAGACAAAAATAAATATCCCACTTGAACCGTATTTTTCCGGTTAACATATAACCTAAAGCCTTCCTCAATAAATGCGCTATCTAATGCAAAAAGAATTTTTCAAATCGGATTAGTAGTTCCTAAGATTACCACGTTCAAACAAATAAACTCTCTCTTTATAATATTAGTATAGATGCTTTGTCTTGACTGACTGACTGACTGATGGATTAACGCACAGCATTAATTGCTGGTCGGAGAAACGAGAAATTTCGAGGGCGTATTCCATATACGATGTAGGCATCTAATAAGAAAGGATTTTTCGAAATTCATCCCCTAAGTGGGTAAAATACGAGATTAAAGATTGTATGAAACTCTGTCATTCTTAATCTGAAATACACAGAAAGTGGTATTTAGCTTTACGATAAAAAAAGGAAATATATTTATTTTATATTTTCGCTATTCACCTTAAAGGGATAAAAGGGAGTAATGAAGTTTATATGGGCAAAAAAATATTTATGATCACAATTACTTGAAACTTGGTATGAATGCTTTTCAATACAAACAAATAAATACGCGTTTTAGCATTTTTGAAATTCATCCCATATGGGGGTAAAATGATGATGAAAGTTATGTACTAATGTATGAATCTCTATTATTAATGCACGGAAAATGGTATTTACTTTTAGAGTGAATAATAAAACAATACAAATATCATTTGTTTTCATAATTCATCCTTTTAAAGGGCAAAAGTGCTGTTTATATAAGGGAAAAATGTTTATGATTAAAATTACTTGAAAGTTGATATTAATGCTCTCCAATACAATTAAATCAAAATGTATTTTAGACTTCTCAAAATTCTGCTCATAAGGGAGTAAAACTAGACGGCGAAATTAGAGTTGGTTGAATATATTTAAACAGAGTGACATGGTTCAAGTTCTCTGTAAGGGCACAGTTACTCTGTGGGATATAAAGTACAGAACGGAAATTATTCCGAATCCAAAGGAAAATTATGTATAACTTCTCGGCTGGCCGCAGCAGTGACGTCTATAACAGACCTAGAGCGAGTGAGAGGGAACCTAGCTAGAGAGTATCCTATCTATATCCCTCTTCTGAAGGTTGGCATACCTGTATTGAAAAAGTAACCTAAACTATATAACGGGATTAGACTGAGTAATTCATTAAATATTTTAGTGGCCACTGTGTTTGCTGGATGTGCTCGGCGTGTATCCTGGAATACCACTTATAACCTCTGACTGTGTCTATGAATTTAATATATTGTAATTCTTCCTTAAAGTTTGCTTTGCAATAACCTTTAATATATCACAGGGCCAGTCATTAAAAGTAGCAGACATAGACTTAAGATAGTATGGTTTCTCAGAGTGACAATTTTAGTAGAACCCAGAACTAGACAGAACATCCACCAATGTGGTATATGTATTTGTGGTTGGTTTTTAGCGTAGACTAAGTGAATCTCGAGTGATAACATAAATGAACACATAATATTAAAAAATCGATACGACAATATATATAAAGTCAATGGAAATTAAAACTGAGCAAATTTTATCGTCCACGCAAGCCTAGCCGCGGGCAAAAAGCTATAAGAATGAAACTAAAAAAATAATGACTGTAAGCTTCAGGTGTTCATAGTATTGGGTCTTTAAAACTAACGTAGACGTTTAACCTTATAGTATGTTAGTTAAAAATTCCAATTAGCCGAGTTACATGATTCTAAAGTCGTAAGCATTGTATGCTAGTTTTATCATTGTACTCTCTTTCTCTAACTTTAGAAACATGGAGTAGAAAAATGTGCAAAAAATAGAGGTAGTGGACTTTTTAACATCTTTTAAGATACTGGATATTTTGAGTTACGATCGTTAAAATTAAATTTATTCTCCATATACATATCTTTAAGAAATAATATGAAACACGAACTTATTTTTGCAAATAATATAGTTTGATCGCGTGTGATGCCACGGGTTCTGCTAATATAATATATAAATGTACCTCTAAAATTGTCAGAGTTTATTTGAATCAGTGAGCTTATTAATTAATTTCGAATTCCGAGTAAGTGGACATACGAAAAGCACCGCACGGTCCATTTGCTGCGTTAATGTAAAATTGATACCGACAATTTCCACAGAAATCTTTCATGCAATATCACGTGGGTTTTACTAAAGCAAATTAATCAATCGCTCTCAATGTTGATGTACTATCTATGAAAATGGTTATGTAAATTAATATATATTAGTATGCCGAAAATATGTTTTGTAAAGTAACATTTTTTCTCATGCTTACAATACTAGCTTGTAGGTTTGGTAAAAAATATATCTGTTATTTAAACTACTTTAATTCCAGAGTATCTCTTACTATAATAACAAAAACTTATGAATGTGTAGCTATAGGTTTTTAAATAGTTAAATGATTATAGATGTACTAGCAGCGGCTTACCGTCATTTCGCTCGGGGGTGTACTTACGTACGATTTAATTAGATATAAATAATTATTGCGAGTATACTTTAGGAGAATAACTATAATGTTATTGCAGAATTTTCTGTAGGCATTTTTAAACCCTACAATTTTCTGGTACATTGTTTTGATGTATTTCTTTGAGGTTTCACACATCGCGGAAAGTATGAAACGTGTATGTCTCCGACTGTATAATATTACGAGTATATTCCATCGTGAACTTGTTTTCATCTTATTAGTTAGCCTTTATGCAGTCGGTTGTTTTATTTTTATATGTTTTTTTTATTATATAGTATGCTAAGCTGATTAAATGATAAAAAATTAGCTCTGTTATAGGCGTTTA